TCTGAATCCTCATTTTTATTTCGCAGGGAATCAGGGAAATCGGAACAATATATCTGAACTTGTGACATGTAATAATTCAGATGGCTTCCTGTAATTACTAGAAAGAGACTTATGCGTTTCGCCTGAATAAACCATGTGAACACCTTTAATTACCCATTTGCTTTCCTTGTGGCGTTAATTATATCACATATTAGTCTTTCACTGATCGTGCAGGTAACCTGTATTAGTTTCCGTTAGCCATGTGCACTTTCCAACGTAATATTTTTGTACGGTCACTACATTTATGTAGGGACCGTGATTATCATTTCAGTCATTTTTATTAGCGTCCTTATACCACATATGTTTGCCTCCTCTACTGTTTAACATCAATAAAAAAATTTATTATTTTTTGTAACCGCTATAAAATGTTCTTATGACGTATGTTTTGTTGCACCACTTCATCGGCATTACATTGAATACCATGTACGTGATTTTCCGCCTCTCCCCTCGTGTACCAATATTCTCTTATGTGAACGCCCTTCTTCCTGATATCCCAAAGAGAACGGCTGTATGTCTGATGTAGATAAATGAAACTAATGTTAAAGAGACACTTTATATACGCCGCCTTTCTCGTTTATTGTCGCGCCCGTTTCACGGGCCACGGAGGTGTCAGCGAAGGGGATTCGAACCTGCGATTAGTGTAATGCTATAATCCGTGTTTATTCTCCGGATGGCGTGGTAACAAAAGTGAACAATCCCGTAGTCTGTAATCTGCGGTCACTCTGATCTTGTCGGTCGCATGGTGGGAGTATTTGCACGTTCCCGATTCACCAGAGAGGAGGTGCGTATACTACATACTAAACACCCATGATCCATATATAAGGCGAACGGGGGCGAGGTGAAAAATTTTTTTTCGGGGGTAGGCACCAAATTGATCTGAACCGGGGGTGGGGCAGGTAAACGGTCTTATTGCGCTCCACATATATACCACGGCGACAAAAAAAAAAAAAATCTGTCGGGGGGGGGGGGGGGGGGGAAGGGGTATGGGTCTGGTGTGCCACCCCCTGGTTACGTCACTGACGGCAAAGAAGAGCATGTAATTCGTAGTAATAAGTTCGGACTTTAACGTCCTAAATCAACGATATGATTATGGGGGACGTCATAATAGTGGAGGGATTATCACGAAACTGATATTTAACTCTGGCATTTGCCCTCCATCAATATGCGGCCGCCGCGGCTGGGGTCGAACTCACGACGTGCGGGTTATTCTAGTTATTCGGGCTCTTTTTCGTGTGTTTCTCTTCATCAATCAGTGCTCGTTACCGCTCGTGTTCTTCTTGTCTCTGTGTCGTCGTTTTGTTCTCGCGCTATAACTATCGTCCGCATAAGGGCACCGTTGCCACCACGGCAGCTGAGGGCATTACTTGATTAGCCTCTAAGTGAGAGTGATCGCTTCGCAGCGATTCCATAATTATTGTTTTGGCCGCCATAGTCACATTGTAAAATACTGTAAACAACAACCAGGACAAGGAAAACTTCTCAGCTAAAGCCAGGTTTGTCTTCAGTCGTAATGTATAAAAAAATTCACAGTTGTACTGAAATAGAAAAGGGATTAAACTGGAAGACTGTCATTCCGTCGTATACAAATGTGTTTGAAGCTTTCATATTAGACATTTCGTAAAAAAAACTGAATTTAATAGAGGCATTCGCTTAAAAACGGCCAGATTATATATCTGGATGCATAGATGACAAATTCAAAATAAGGCCACGCCGAACAGCACAAACATGAACGCAAATTTGTTTTTTTTTTAATCTGTGAAAACTATTAATTAGTGGAATAGCCTGACGTCTGAACAAGTGTGCAGTGTTAATGAAGATGTATGGATGGTGGAACTTTATTTAGAGCCTGGGTCTCGAGAGGCGCGACTAACGCGCAGTGGGCACAATGTGTTTTTTTTTTTTTTTTCAACTTCGTAACACCCTGTTGTAACTCCGCTGGGCAAAGCGGGAACATGTATGAATAAAGAATAAATGTAATTCTAGGATATTACGCTCTCCGAAGAAGAAATAACGTTAAGCTATAGTACCAGAAGCTTGCGCACGTCCCCAAACACTACTCCAAAATAACCGCCTTAGCGAAGAACCATACGACCAAGTACTACGTTGTGAGTTTTCCTGCTCACGAACCGTTACGACCGTCACAACTGTATAGAGATCGTCGTACGATTTGAAGTGGTCGCATGTCGCACTGCGGTGGCACAGCAGTGCGACACGAGACCACTGTTCACACCGTTTATAATTGTGGCACAGCAACGGCCGTATCGCTGCTGCGACAGAGATAAACTGCCCTATTTTTGCGGCACCATGTACCAGCGATGCAGCGAGTCTGCAAAATAAAAAAAAAGAGATTTTATGGGTAAGAAAGAAAAAAGATATAAATATTAGAAGCACCACACTGGGAGGGTGTATTTGAACAACCTGTTTTTTTTTTTTAACATGCACCTTAACCTAACTACAACTACACCGGCGATATATTTCGCACCCATGTAAGTGTGGCTCTCCCTGGTAGGCCCAATATATATATATATATATATATATATATATATATATATATATATATATATATATATATATATATATATATATATATATATATATATATATATATATATATATATATATATATATATATATATATTCTTTTAAGCGACTCGTGATCTCTATTTGGAGGTATTTATACTCTGTCGGGGAGTCGTGGTGCCCAAAACAGAGTTAACGTGTCTTCTTTGAAGAAAGTCATCTTCTTAACGACTCGGGACGTGCAGAAAAAGGTAAAACACGCCCTTCCTTTTTTTTTTTTCGAGTGCAATGTTCAGGACCTCCGAACATCCATCCATCATTGCCTGGTGCATCTGTCGCGAAATGCTTTGTTTTATTACAACTTCGTTAAGCTAAGGAACAGTTTAGGTTTATGCATATATACATAGCAAAAACAAAAAAAGCACGATTCCATTCCTTTTTTTTTTTTAATCTGGACGTGATATTCGTAAAACAAAGCTTTAAATCGAAGTCTGACCGCGTTTTCCAGACAACGTCAGCTGCATCGTTTCAGTGATGGATCACTGATCACGGTTATGCGAATGGTCGATGACACACAGATTAGCTCTCCTATATTGCGGAAGAGAAGACGGAATATAAGGCGATGCAATTTCTCAGGGTGACGCCCAGATGAGTGCATAGGGTTCAGGAAGCAAATTAGGAGGCACACTATATATATCACTACTGAAACGTTCCCGTATGCGATGTCCAACAATTCCGTATGTTTCCGTAAGATTCTTACGGAAATATATGAAAAATATATGGGAAACATATGCATTCTTTATGGAAACATATGGAATTATTGGACTCGCATACGGGAACGTTCCTTTCGTTGTGTGTGACAGATGCTTGGAAAACTGTGGTAAAGAAACGCGACTTGACTCATTGAAATGGCTGCTGAGAACAATTGCGCCATGACGCTGTCCTCTGGATGCTCCGTCTTTAACTTGCAGAACAGAGGTGTCCTTTAAGTTGCAGCACACAGGTACCGAAGGTGTTCCACGAAGATCTTCGATGATTTCGTGGAATTTCGAAAGACGTTTGCACAAGTCTCAGTATGGGAAGTATTAAGCGTGGCTGATTTTATCTTACTATTGCTCAAGGTGTTATTACAGCCCGCTTCTAGCACGTAATTTTTAAGAGAAAATATGAAACTTTCATGCTAGTATAGACACACGTTATTTATGCTATTGCGAGTGCCATGAAAAATAGCATGATGTGACGAAATAATAACTTGTGATAGGCAATTTATTGGCTGAATGACGATTAATTAGAAATGAGAATCACTAGAGGTTCGATGATAAATATAATGCAGTCGTCAGGAAACACGCCTTAAAATGAAGATACGGAGATGCCGCCAGCGTTAAAACATTTTTGAAAACAGAAAAAAAATCTGTCGATAATGAGAACAATGAAGGTATCATGTACGATACATAGTGATTTGTGATTTCGTTCCGGTTGAAGTTCTGAGCTGTCAGCATTACTGCTGAAAACAACGAAATACATGTGGCAGGCGGAAGTCGCAAAGGAAACCCTGTTGCATCAATGACTCATTTTTGAGCTAAAATATCGTGTAAGTATAAAACTACGACAGGATTGGGCAGAAGCGAAGTTATGCTGCGGTATGACCACCTGACGTCTCGTTACAATGAGTTTTGTCCGTACTGAGGCCAATTGTACTAAATAAAGCCATGTATATAACTGGCAGGCCGTTCATTACCTGAATAGATTGAGCCGTCTAGCGCCCGTTTCCTTGATTAATGGCGACAGATGTAACCTGACAGTAGCACTAATTTCTTTAACGCGGTAATTAAATTACACTCGTAAGTGCGACGCAAGAAAGGGGGGGGGGGGCGATTTACGGCGACCGCACCTACACTCAGTACGAGGATGAAAACCACTAAGCCCCTATATCACTTGAATATGGCGGTTCCGGCCTTTTCCTTTTTTCTCTTCCTTCCTGTCAACGTTCGCTTAACGTACAAGCAGAGCGAGAGGTTAAGAGAGATTTCAGGCCCTTCAGGCCAAACGCCGAAGCGGCCGTGATGGAGCGATGTTGACAAATATCCGTCGCTTCTAACCCGCCGAAGAATCCAGCTGCCAGAGCAGCGCCACGCACTGACACTGGCAGTGCTCGTTGGACTCGCAGAAATGGAAAACAGCTTCCTTCGTTGAGTTGCGGCTCGCGGAGAAACCATGCGAGCGCACGCGACCATGAATCACGCGAGAGAGGGACCGCTTTCCGGTCACCAAGGGCCCCCCCAGCAAAACAAGAACCGGGAAACACGCTTACCACACGCGTCAGCGTGAGCTGCAGACGAGCGTACTTCACCGTTAGGCCTAGGTGCACGACGGCGCAGCCCTCCTGAGAGCGCGCTGCTTAAAGAATGGGGGAAAAAAAAGCTTCATCGGCGGCGTCTTACCTTGCTCTCTGCCGGTATGGGGCAGGCGCGACACAGATTCCAGAAGGTGTTAATCATGGGCCTGCCGTGTGCGACAACTTCGTCTGCACGCCAACACAAGCAAAGATGGGAAGGAAACCGCGCCGCGCTGTATCGACGACAGCGGAGCTCTCTGCGGCGCCGGGACGGGAGAGACGGCGGAGGCTGCGGCAGTGTGTTTGCACGCAGGAGAGCCGGGTGCTGGTGGGCTTGGCCCTGCGTTGCCGACGGCTACGGCTCTGGCTTCTTTTCGCGGTGCGGCGCGCCAAGCGCTCGCCTCTCTCCTTCCTTTCCCTCTTTTACGCCGAGAGAATCCTTGCCCCCCACACACTCTATCACATTTTACGGCCGGCCTCTCGGACTCCGGCTTGACAGACCCGGTTATAGCCCCAAGCCGAGCCAGAGCTCCGAGAGCTCTGCCGGTCAGTCCTCAAAGCATGCATTTTCGAAATATTCCCGTGCGGCTCCAAGTGGGTGAACATGACAGACGTACGATGATAAAATTAATAAGACATGCTTTCTTACTTTTCTTGCATGTTTATATGTCGCATACGCCTTGAGTAAAATAATAACCAATAAAAGAACTAGAAAGCGTGCCAAATGTCTAAGACTTTGAAATCGTAAAAGCTCCTTCTTATTTTGGCATATGTAAATCAAACCCGTTGGCGTAAACGACGTTTCAAACGTTCAATGATAAGGCAAAAAAAATAAAAAATAAAATACGTCCTATACGTACCATTAACTGCTAAATTAGTAATGTAGAATGTCATGTAAATTTGTAAAAAGCCCTACGCCCTTAAAAAGGAAAGGTTAACTGCTACTGGGAAGGTTACTGTACTCGTCGCCGTCTACCTATACCGTTAAAGCTTGAATCTGCCAAATGCTCTTGCAAGCGTCATGGTCGAGGACTAATTATGCGATGTAATTGCTGTGCATTAAAAGTGAACATGCCAATGCTGCGGGATTCATTGCTCTGAAAAGAATTGTCGCCTCAGAAAATTTATAATTGTAAGCTAATGACCCTCTGAAATGGGCGATCAAGGAAAATCTTGAAAAAATAGATTAAAAAAAAAACGGTACTTGAAACGCTAAGAAGCGTGAAGGTGCCATACATACATATTGCTTCTTTACCATTTGAAACGCAGACATTGAATGATATGTGGGGTTTGACGTCGCAAAACCACCATATGATTATGAGAGACGCCGTAGTGCAGGGCTCCGGAAATTTCGACCACCTGCGGTTCTTAGCGTGCACTCAAATCTGAGCGCACGGGCCTACAGCATTTTCACCTCAATCGAAAATGTAGCCACCACCACCGGGATTCGATCCCGCAACCTGAGGGTCAGCAGCCGAGCGTAACTTGGCCACTAGACCACTGCGGCGGGGCAGAACGCAGACCTTCCAGTTACAGGTAGCCTGCATAATCGTGGCTTGGAAGCCGTTTGGGGAAGCTTGCGGTAAGGTTAAAGAAAGCGTTTGTTAATAAAAATACAACTGTTGCGTACATATGTGTGTGGTAAACGACGCGCGAACGACCATACAAACAAAAAATATTCGTGAAAGATGGCTTTTTCACAACACGATAATTTTTGCGGCGAAGCCCGCTTATGGTGATCGCTTTCATAATTTGACTAACGCCATCACATCAAGTACGTGTCGTCAAAACTTTTTTTTTTGTAGTTGTTGTTGCTGTTGTTTCGAAATGCACGTTAAGATTATCATCTTACTATGAGGCAGTTTATCATCAGCCTCCGGGTAGGCTTTCTGCACTGCCTTTGTACGGCCATCTTTCAGCGAGCTTTCTAGTTCAAAATGGAGGAAGGACTTTGCCGTCGAGCGATGTCATTCAGCTAACAGTCACGGCACCTGTACTGGCAACTCCGAAGCTGGAGTATGCAAACAAAGCGGAGTTCCGGGTTACTGTGCTCCAACTTCTAAGTTGGGTCGATCAATTATATTTGGCTGATCGGCAGTGACATAGTCAAATTACGAAGCGGGGCACGCTTCAGTGTACAATGTGTCTGTGCTTGGTGCCCGACTCCCTCTGGTTTGGCGCACGCGCTCGACTGGAAAGGGGATACTGAGCAAGCGAATGATGTCGCAGCGTTATTGTAAGCGATGAATATGCTACGTCCGTGGATATGCTATGGTTGGGGTAAACGGGCTCCGGAGGGCAGGTTGATCTACCCTTCCCCATTGGCGTAGTCAAGGAGGGTTAAACACTCCCCACCCCTAAATTCTCGAACTTTTCACGTATGTGCATGTATACTTACGCACACAAGAACACGCACCAGCATACACGAAGAACAAATGCCCCCCCCCCCCCCCCCTCTTCCCTATTAACGTTGTCTAGCTACGTTCAAGCTTCTTTCAAGGCCTCCGCCGCTGCCAATACGCACTCATTTGACTAGCAATCAGTAATCGCTCGCGACAGTGCCGAGGTGACAATGTTGTCCACCTATAATCTTGAGCACGAAAAAAAAAAAATTAACGACGCAGTCAGGGACTGGGGGGAAATCGAGTGAATACAGAAATAGGAAGGAAGAGGCAAAATAAAAGTTGAGAAAGACAATTTGCTGGATTGCGCAGCCCAACTCGCATCTCTGCGCTGCACGCGTTGTGCCTTCACCAATCAGTGCTCCCGTTCGCTGTCTCGGGATCTTATGAACACCTAAAAGGTAAGTCCCGGGAATGGAAATCGGCGCTAAACGGCACCATAACGGTTGTTGCGTAGCACAAGCGCACGATTTGTTGCGCGTATATTTCACATCGCAATGAGGAGGCACGAGTTCGGCATTACCATTTCACAAGTAGCAACGACAACGAAGCGTCGACCCAACTCAAAGCTGTGCTGCGATGTTTTTCGTGGTGGGAAGGCAGATGCAGGGTGCAGGTGTCCCTTTAGGCGCTCTCCAAACGAGCAGTTGCGCCAGTCTGTTCATTGAGCCGTTCCGTGTACAGGATGACACCATCGTGCCGCGGCGAAGCCAACTTTACAGACGAAACATCTGCGCGTATTTAATATATGCTTCCCTTAAAAGGACACCAAAGAGAAATAATGACTTAGTTTAGATTAACAAACTGCACTCGGAAAACTCTTAACGCCATATGTTTCACTATTATACGGTCATTATTAGCGGAGAAAATCAAGATTGAAATGTAATTTTTAAATTTCACGCCAAAACTCTGCGAGTGACGTCAGAAACTTCGAAATGTATTTTCGGTATGTTCATGGTATTGGCTCAACAAGATTTTCCTGAAACTTTGTGTGCGAAGTTTATGACACACACAAGGTGACAATGTCCTTTATTTTAATCGATTGGAAAGCTGTGTAGGACCCAGTAGACACCATATTTTATTACAGTCATGGTGTGTAGTGCGGAAATCTCTCATTGGCGTCGCCACCCGTATTTTCCTTTCGCGCGATTTCTCGCTTACTAGCGTCGTGTCGCGGTAAGAGTGGTGTTTTCGGTATCGTTGAATGGTACATTACTAATACGCGAAAAAATTGTGCTTGCTGTTTAGAAGGCGTCTCTTCAATATCAGTCTTTTTTCTTTTTACAAGTAAATGATTTTTACCGGTGTCCACCAAGACTTCAGTGACGTATTTCCGTCACGGAAATGACGTAAAACACGATTAGAAAACACGAGGTTCCGTCAACAGGAGTCGAGCCCACTATCTCTCGGTCGGCGACAACAGATGCCCGGCACACTATCCACTGCGCCACGGTCGCACACTTTGCAAGCCCCCTTTTTTTTTCTACATACGGCTATTACCGTAAATTTCCACAATCTCCGATGCATTAGCTTAAGACGTCGAAGGCGAACGCCATCAGTTTTTTTTTTTTTATCAGTCTATTGTGCCAGTCCTTTCCAAAATCATTCTGTATTTGGTTTTGCACTGTCTCCAGGGATTGCAGGAATTGCAAGCTTCCAGCACCTCACACCGTTCTGAAGAGTCTCCGAGATCGGCCCCCCTGTCACCAAACGTGGCGATGTCATGTCACGACGATTTTGATTTTTGCGTCACTAGGGTTGATAACATTGTTTCAATCACAATAGTTATTTCAACCAATCAATCACTATGTGAACGCGACGGTCAGTTTCCGCTTTCGATGCGGCATCCAAGACTTCACTTTCACCCACGCGAGTTCAAATCCCACCTCGTGAAGAACTTTTTTAACAATAATTTAACTTTCTTTCCCCCTGTACCCGTTGTTTTACACATTACGGTTCTATACAGACCAGGCATGCGGACTGGCCCGCTACAGTAGCGGTACCCTAGGTCCCAATCTCTGCATCATTTCTGTATTTAACAGACAAATTACAGCGAGTTTCAACGTCTTCACTCTTACAAAATTTCGCCATTTCTACGCCACGAGAACCATCGGACAGTGAAGCTGCAAAAGCATAAACTAAGCCAACCTACTCTAATTTCAAGCAACAACTCAAGCCTAGCCATCACAGTTTCATTATTGCCATAATTATGAGTGCCATCATAATTTCGTGAATTTCATTATTCACTATCTCCTGGTCATGTCACATGTGTTACGCAGGACAGCACACGGCTTGACATAGCTTCGCTGTTAAGAAGTACTTTACGAGGGTGGATCGGCAGCTCAGCTAGAGACGAGCATCGAAGAACACGAGATTTACGAGAAGCAAGGGTGGTAAAGAAGCAGTGTTTTATTGGTCACCAGCTTGTCTCCCAGAGTGTGTGTGGTTGGAGTGGAAAAAGGGTGTATCTACAGTGCATCCATATCATACAGGGAACACAAGAGAACCATTGCCAACAGGATGATGCAAGGAGATATAACTTAGGACGTATGCATAACTTAGGACGTATGCTTTCGTGTGCGTGTTCCGACAGCAAGCGTATGGCTTCGGAGGCGAACCGAGAAAAACAAGGAGGGGGTGGGGCCACCTATGGGGCAATCTAATGCATGCCCACTAAGCAACACGTGATGGATACCATTACATCAGGGGACACGTGTTGTGCTATGTGACAACTATGTACAGCGATACAGTAGTGTACAGGGTAGCCTGTACTGGCTCCGTTGGGACACAAGGCCTTTTCGCAGCTCTGGAACGCTTCCACAAAGTGCCGGATGCCATCATATTGCTAGCATATTGATAACGTAACAATACTTCAGAAATTGCCAATAAATGATAGCAAACAATCACAATTACATATTTGTAGAAACCAATTGCAGTCGCTAAGAATTTTTAGCCCATAGGCAGAAGTGGAGATTTCAGTGTAACCACCGCTAATGATGCGATTCTTTCACTATCAATACACTTGGTCTGCATACAGGCACTTGTACCATTGCACGAATTTAATGCCACTACCATAAGTAAGCCGCACAGAATACTTATTTAAACTGCATGGATTTCTACTTTCGCAAAGTGGTAAACCATCTGCACTGCACAGAACTTTCTTCAATCCACACCTATCATTCCAAGACCCCTCCGACAATAACTTCCTCCAGAGATGCACATGTCCAATGCTTCAAGAGGCATCACACACTAAAGTACAGGCCACCCTGTGCATTCAGCCTATATACAGAGAAATCAGCCACCGTTGCCTCTTTGTCCTTGATGACAGAGGCACCCCACCTCAACTCAATGGTCCACAACTACAAACAAAGACGAGACAATTTAACCAGCACAAGCAACCCAACACATCATGAAAATGCACAACTGATGCAGAGGTGAATCATCTTTCCCCACTATATGTCAACAGAAGTACAACTTAAACCTTGGATTTCATTTTAGGAGTTCAATCTTTGGCAAGCCTGAATGTTTGCCAGATATATATATCTATATACATGTGTACTGCATTCTTTTTTTGTCCTGGAATGGTATGCTCGCCAAAAAGGAAAGTAAACAAACACAACCTTGCATAAAAAATGCATGAAGTGCCATGTATAAACAATAAATAAAACAAAGACAGTGCACTATTAGAACTTATTCCCACCAGCGACTTGAAGGTGCCGCATGACTGTTTGCAGCTGGCAACCAGAAAGCACTTAAATACGACCACTAATCCCACCGGCTAGTGTGATCTATCGATCACCGCACCAAAAGAGGCGCCTCCCCAAGCGAAATGCCAATTATGTCTATGTCTGCCATCACCTTACAAGACAAGGACACGTTTTGTCCCTGTGTTCCTGCTAGTCTTTTCTTTGCTTCCTTCCGGTCAAGTTTGCTTAACGTACAAACTGAGCATGACTGAGATGACTGATCTGCCACCTTTGCAACTACAGTAGTGCGACTCAGTGGTGTGAACCACGCAGTGAGTGACAGAGTTGAAACGGTTGCATGATTGCAGCGTCGCCAATGTGAACTAGCCTTCACTGCTAAAAGCTATAGCGGTGTGCCTTTTCCAAGGATAAATATTGTGTGCACACAGAATTTTCTCAAGTGTGTCTCATCTCGTCAGTGAAGGCTTCTACCTTCTTGAAAAGGTATCTCCATCCATAACCACACATAAAGCCAATAAATGAAAAAAAGGAATAAATAAAAACAAGAGATCGACGACATTGTAACATCACTCACACTTTTCATTCACGTGTACTGCTTGTAGTGCAATAAAACTGTCCACCATTGCTGACCCCTTACGTGCCACGGTTGTGGTTTAGTGCCCACGTTTCTCGTCAAAACGACCAAGTGAAAACACAGTGCTTTGATTAGGTTCTTTTCCCAGTAATTTTTCCAGTAATTCCAGGCATACGATTGGGGTATTATATGAATAAGGACTGGAAATGCTGTATAAATTGTCTTTCACGAAGAATGCCGCAGCAAAAAAGTAAACTTGCAAGAATTCACAACAAAACATGGCACACAAGGGGTTACAGAGAGGGCTACTTGTGGTCTGCAAAAAGAAAGTGTCCTTATGTACGCGTACATACGGAAAGAAGAGCAATAACGCTGCTATACCTTGTATACTACTGGCATTTAGAAAAATTTGTCTGCACAGGAATGCATCATACATAAAACAAGACATGTAACAGTTTCACCTCAAAAAAAGGTACATTGAAGGTCAGTGACCTCTCACTGGGAAATTCTACCGAGAAGCAAAACCATAAGTGGTATGCAGCCTTAAAAGCAGCAGCCACAAATGAAAAGCAATAATTTGAAAGCCAAGACTAGGTAAAGGCTCCACTGATTCGCCTTTATAGTGAGAGCTGGCATTCTTATAGTATGAGGCCAGAAAAGCCACACAAATATTAATCGCTACAGTACTGCATGAACAAAACATTTATTAACACACTTGGGTCGGCTACGGAAAATGCCAGTGTCTGAACTACGTGATACGTTGTAACAACGTGCCTTAACTGTTCAAATCATGCCCGTTTGCATTCAGCAAGATTGAGCGAATGCCACACTCATATGTGAGGTCTGTTCTGTCTGGAAAGAAGCATGTTTGTCTCAAGCAAACACCTCTGCTCAGGCACTTTGCAACTACAAAGAAGAAAAATTATAGGAGTGAGGAGCAGCAGTGATAACTCACACTTTCATGCTTGTGTACTTACTGGAAGCATGTAGAGCAGGAGAGGGGAGGGCACCGGATAGATTTTCGCTCAATGCAAACTGAAGCATGCATAGCTTGAAAGTACCGATGCAGCATGCCTGGCTAGAGTGGGTTGCAATGCAGTTTAGCCAATAGGCTTTTATAAACAGCACCAAATTTCACATGCAAGTAGACATGCAGCATTGAATTCACAAACAAGCAACTATTGCGAACTTCAAAACAAACCAGCAATTAGTTGCGAACGAAAAAAAAAAAAAATGCACACACACATGCACACACACACACACACACACACAACAATAAATGTGCTTAGCGCAGTGCAGTCAATCTATGCACTCTTTGATGTTTATACTTAATAAAAATCAAAAAAAGAAAAAAGTAAGGGGACATGTATTGAACTGAGCTCAATCTCGGAGGCATGCCAGAGCAAGCTTCTCAACAACCGGGTGCACATGTTAAATAAATTAAAATAGGTATTGAATGAATTGCATTCGTACCAACAGCAGTTCCCTCACACATGACATACACACAATTTTCTGAGCATGTCAAAGGGCAAAATGAGAGTGCTCATCAGCATTTAACATCTGCCAATGCAACCTCAAACTTAATCGCCAGCCCAACTGGTAAAGCTCTCCATAAGCACTACAAACAAGTACAGTGACATGCGAAACAAAAAAATATGACCAGAAAAGCAAGGGGGAAAAAAGTGTACAGAGATTTGTGCTACCAGCAGTTTTTGTGACATAATTGATGCACAAGGCAATAAAGGGTAGCTTGATCTCAAAGCCTTGCTTAATGTAACACACAGAACAATCACAATCCCAACACAAAACCACAATACAGATAAACAGAAAGAAACCTTCACATTTAACATTAGCAGAAAAGGTGTGCACGTAAACCGACAGTGGGAGTTGTCATCGAAGTGTCCACACCAGCAGTTTGTGATTACCTTGCGACGCTGTACAGTTGTTTTCAGTCATGCCTGGAGGTCATGATAGTGATGACAACAATAACACTTCCATGTGATGGCTTAATGCATGTTTTGAAGCAGAGGTGTGCTCCTAGCCACAGCGTTTGTAATGAGCACATGTGACAATCCTAGTGCTCTACTTACACGCTCAACTCACACTCGCTGCTCACAACGAAGCAGCACACTCTCTAGCTTCCACCACAAAGGGGAACGAATGTTTCTGTTTTCCCTTATTTAGCAGGGAGAGCCAGGGCAACAGTCAAGCTATGCCCAGTCGCAATGGACACAGTTGCGCACAGAACATGACGCGAGCTGGTGCCCGACGAGAACACTGAAACCACCAATCCCATCAGAGCGCTCCAAGAAATGTCTCATCGAAGGTCCAATGTCCTGACAACCTTGGAACAGTCTTCGGCCCTCAAAGATTGGTGGCAGTCGTATGGAGGAGGCGTCGGTGAATCATGCAGGGGCTCTTCGTCCATGAGCGGGGTACCCGGGTCGTCGTATTCGTCGAATGTCGCTTGTTCCGGCTCGGGTGCCGCTGCAGGGACCGGAGGCGGATGTGCAATCTGCTGGCAGTATGTTGGCATGCCCATCTGTGGCGGAACTGGGAAGGTAAGTGCCACAGAATATGGAACGGGGGCACCGCTGGGCATTGGCAGGTAATTCATCGGGGCTGCGTCATAGCGTGGTGGCGGATGGGCCATGGACGGCAGGTAGGCGGCAGGGACTTCTCCGAAGGGTCCCACGATAGTATGATGGGGCATGACAGTGGGAGCTAATAGCTGGGGGGCGACTGGAGCCATGGTTGATGGAACCATGACCGGAGGTGCGATGGGTGGCAATGAAGGGCTCAACAACGATGCCGGCGGCTTGGTTATGTCCCTGTACATGGGGTTCGATGAAGGCCCTAAGTGCCTTGTGAAATCGTCGTAGCACCTGATGGGAGCGACTGACGACGACAGCGACACTGAAGGAGGAGCCATTCTCATGTGCGCCACTGGTATGTGCGGTGCCATCGTTGTGCGCACGATACAAGATGGAAGAGAAGTTGGTATCATGGGCCTAGGAAGGGGTGGTGTACCAGAACGATGGCATGTCGGCACAGATCTGGACATAGCAGAGGGCGGGATTCGAGATGGAGGCAGAGAAGCTGACGTAATCATTGCAGGCCTTTGTGCACTGCACGTCAACAGGCTTGACACGGGCTGTGTGGAAAAGGACATCGAGACGACTTTACTGGCTGACGACGTTGAAGAGACTGCTGGCGATGATGACTTGGGTGCAGTTGTGCCTGTTGTGTGAGGGAGAAGAAGTTCTAGAGGAGAGACTGCGACAGATGATGTAACTATCGAACTGCTTTTTGGGGCCGAATGCATAACTGTAGAAATTGTGGAACCCATTCTGGAGAACGAGGAAGACGTAAGAGAACCAAGTTTAGATGTTGCATGGTGCGCTACGGTGGTCAAGCTGGAACTTGCTTTTGATGTCGCATGTACAGAGACTGCAACCGATAAACTGCTTCCCTTTATGGCTGCTGTGTTTACCAAACTACTTTTGGAGGTTGAGACAGCAGATGCACTGACAAAGTGACTGCTCTTCGGGCTGTGATGAGAAACTCCAGCTGAAGAACTACTCCTTGATGTTAATGTCATGGCCATTGATGAGGGATAGCTTTTGTTAGTGACAGAGTTCGACATGGTGGTGACACAATTGGCTTTGGGGGATGACAGCGCTGCCACAGTGGCAAACGTATCAGTTTTAGAAACTGAAGCAGCAATGTTAGCAGCCAGTGAGGTGCTAACTGTTGATGTTGTAGTGCTGATGGTAGAACTTATTTTTGATGTGGATTTTGAAGAAGGTGCCACACTCGTGATAGTACTGCACCTTGTACTTGATGCTGTATTGTTCTTAGTTGACAGAGTATTGCCGGCAATGGTGCAGGACTTTGAAGTAACTGCAGTGGACGCTGTAGAAGTGCTCTTGGAAGTAGCAATGCTGTTTCCAGTAGAGAAGCTTTTTGAAGAGGCAGCACTTGCCACAGAATTGCTCTTCGCAGACAAAGCAGCAGCCGCTGTTAAAGAATTGTTCTTCAAAGAAAATGTACTTGTAGTTGTTATTGAATTGTTTTTGGAAATGGCCGTGTATGTTGCTGCAGAAGAGGTTTTTAAAGCAGATGATGCTAACGACGAGCTAACCTTGGTTTCAGCTTCTGTAGACGTAGCGCAGCTAGCCTTGTCATTTTGTGTTACACCTGCAAGTACTGTCGAATCATTTTTTAAACATGAAGCTACAGTAGATACAGCTCCAGCATTTTTAACAAGGAGGAGGTGACATCACTGCAGTAGAACAGCCAGTTTTGGTCGATGCCGGCGATACCACAGCACTCGTCTTGAGTGCCGACAGGCTTGCAGTTACCACCGTGGAAGCGCTCAACAAGGAAGAAGCCACACTTGACACTTCAACTGTCTGCACAGGTTTGACTACTGAAGTCTGTGGCTTCTCAGTGGATGATGCAGCGGGTGGCTCGCAAAGCGTCGACGGTGATGTCAACACCTGAGCATTGTTATCACAGGCACCAAAAGTTGCATCATTCTCTACAGGCTCTGCTTTTATTTGACCATCCACGTTATCTGACAAAACCAATGTCTGCTCGGGTGTTGTTTCAACTTTGGCCTCCTGCTCTTCTTTGACAGGAATCTTCAGGAGCTGCGGCTTAGGTCCGTGCGCTGAAGAATGAACCTTATGTGGCTGTTGCGATTTTGATTCGTGAGACGAGGCCTTAAAGTCTAGCTCCTTAGCCTTCTCTTTCTTCTCCTTGTGTGACTTGTGTTTGTCCCCGCTGTGTTTCTTCGGGGTCGATGACGACGATGACTGTACGGCAATTGTTGCTTCCTCCGGTTTTCTTTCACTCGAGAGTGCCTTTCCGGGCTCCAGCTTAATCTTTTTAATGGACGATTCTTTGTGCGGCTTTGAATCCGCTTCCCGCTTTCGGGGCTTGGAGTCCTCGGTTTTGACCTCTTTCACCGTTGTGTCTTCGGGACTTGAAGCCGCTGGGAGGGGAGATGTCGTCTCCTGCGGATAGTACTGGCGCAGGCGCACATGCCAGGCCACACTGGCCACGGCCGTCACTGTGCGAAACTGGTGCACAATGTTCCGCGGCAAGAAATAGATGTCATTGTCGCACAGTGAGATGCGAGAATACCGGATACCTTCCCTGCGCAGCTGGTTCAGCTTGGCGTCTTCGACCCATTGCACGCACTGCACCGAAAACAAATGAGAGTCAAAAACTTTTCTCTCTGACAAAGAAAACTGCACTGGTCTCAATTTTCTTCAAAAAAAAAAATGTTATGGAATAGACGCATGTTAGGCCACGAGAATAAGGCCCCAGAAGAAAACTGCTTCCTCCAGAAACACATCTCTGTTATAAATATGGTTTACTTTGAACAACACCACTTGCAATAAAACAGCAGGTCTATTCCCATTCCTGTAGAATCAACACATTAGGGTCTCTTTAAATTAATAAGAATTTATCATTACTACGAGGACGTATAGGACCAAAGCGGTATTCTTTAAAACGAAAATGCCTGGAGTGAAATGGAACTTATACGAGAAGTAGAAAACTCTGCAATCAATGACTTTCAGTCATAAGCACATTCTAAAGTTCTTGAATCACAAACCAGGGAGTTTCAATGACTAGTACTCGCCTGCGAAACGGGCGGCTCGTGAAGGTCCAACTGAAGCTTTTCCACCAGCTGATTGAAGTCACCCGCATGGAATGCGACTACATCCTTGGTGATGCGATTGGTTTCTCCTCTGTTGTACAAAATTAGGAACACTCAGCATTACTCATTTTCTTTTACCCATACTTTCGAAAAAAAGCATCAAGGAAATCAGAGGAGAAGAGAAAACCTTGCATTTAGACTTGTATTCATCACAGAACACCTGGCAACTTTCAGAAACACTTGCTTTCATGCATGGCAAAATATGTAAGACTATTGTATCAGTTAAGCGAAAGATATTACACTTAAGGTGCGCCAACAATACCCGCTACTCCAATATTGGAAATGGCCTCCCTGATTAATCATGTCAGGACTGTCCTGACGAAGTAATTGAAAAGTAGATATAAGCTTCACAGTTCTTAACTCTGCTCATTTAAACACTCCATTTAGAGTTTAGCTTGAATATGAATGACTAGTCAAATGGGTTTGGTGACCGTGACAGCCACAACGTTCCTCACCCTGTGTTGCAATGGACAGCCTTGAGAACACCCACAGCAGCAGTGGTGAGTCTATCGAAGCCCTGCCCAACGTGGTCCGCGTGGCACTTGGTGCGGTCCTCGAAGAGCATCTCCCGTGGCTCCGAGGCGCGGGGAAGATACTGCAACTTGCGCAGTTCGTCTCGGCGCCTAGCTCCTGACCCAGACACGCTGTTACGCTTGTTTGGCGATCGAGTCAGGTCGGCGGTGGGGACGAGCTGTTCGCCGGGACGCACCCACAGAATGGGACCATCGTTGCTCTCCTGTGTGACAAAAGAGAGACGGTCAGCTTGAAGCCAGTGATCTTCTGATCTTCAGTAGATGTGGAAATATATTCAAGAATTTCTAATAAGAAATAGAATAGCACATATTCAAACTGCCGAATATTTTTTTTAACTATTAGCACAGGCGAAAAAACGCCAGAGGAACATAAGTTGGAAAAACAAAGAATCATATTTCTTGTTTCAATAACTGAATTATGAATATGCATGCAATTCAAGCTTTTACAAGACTAGCAAAAACTTGCTCATCCCCGGAAAAGGAATTTTTGCTTTGAAGGGCCCCCAAACTACCCAGAGGACAAAATTTAGTTGTGTTGTTGCAGTTCTGCATGAGCCTACAGTGAACACACGTAGCCACGAGAATGTTTCGAAACAGTGCTATAACAGCAGTTACACTGCATCTAATGATACAATAGAGGCCCTCGCTCATTTCGCTCTTTCCTTAACTATGATCCCTTTGTCTGCTCCTCTCGCCTCCAGGCCGAATGCTCCTCCTCAACGTGCGAAGAGGAAGAGCGGTGAGCACACGTACCTGCGAGCAGAAAAAAATGTTGGCATCGCGGCAGACACTGAGGGGCTGAACACTGCCAAAAAGCCCAGAAAGGGGAAGGGATCATTTCTTAGAATTCGTGGGTCGCCTGCTCGTAGCACTGCCGCGCTTGACATTGTTGCTTGTGAAAGCATTTTGAACTCAACGTGTGTGTTTACTTGATACAATTAAAAAATTATCGGAGGTGGTTTAGAGGCCCTTCAGACTCATGTGTTGGCCAAGCGAATGCGTCCTCAATGCACTATCACCATCGTGAAATTCATTCACGAAACATGATGCAACATAATGCTCTAAGAGTTATTTAAAAGCTGGTGACCAAGTACCACCTCGAATACTCAAGTAACAGCTGTGCTCAGCCTACAATTAAAAAGTACCATGAAGGCTGTAGTCGCTGCAGTATGTGGGCTTATCTTAGTTCATGTAACTGCAATAGATCTTGCCGGCTTGATGTAACAGTAACATTTACTTATTAACGTTCGTGAATATTTGTTTCATCACAATGTTATGAATTTTTAGGGCTGTTTTAAAAACGGTTGCCTTTCTATTAAAAAACTACTGCGTTTGAATTAGTATGATTGCTATTCAATTCATATTTGATTTGGTTCTAAATTTAACTATTTGCAAGCCCCTAACCATTGGCATTCATTTAATAGCAAAATTTAGTCGGTACTGTGAGTAATCTGAACCCACAGATGGCATGGACAAAAATGACAAGCTCACTGGCTCATATTTCTTGGTCCGTGACAGTTTTTCACTAGTTAACTAATGTAACAAATTTACTGCTAAATGCAAGGCTTGCAAATATTTTTAAACGTTGTCCAAACAATGATCAGACTGCACATGCTACAGAAAGAGTGGTACACGTTTTAGAATTTATTCGAGTGCACGTAATGGTGTTGGAAAGTACAATGATGCAAATTTCGATGACTATGCTAACTGCTATTTTTACGCTGTGTGGGGTACTTGCTCTGCTATGCTGAAGTTTGTGAAATAAAAGTTCAATCCTGTATTCCTCACAGTCTCAACGTGAGTAGAAGTCCGATTCCCTGCAGTAGTGTTATGTACCGTTCTAACAGTTCTTGTGTTCTTCTGCACTCTACACTCTAAGATGTTTTGCCAGAGGCTTAATAAACAGCACTGAGTAAAGGTGCCTGAACGATTTGAAAAACTGTTCGTTACGTCACCTGAAAAATTATATCTAACAGACCTAATAATGGTGATGTCCCTTCTTACCTGCGGAGACTCCATATGAACTTGAGAGAGGGGACCCCAAGGCATGGTGAGGTACAGGAAAGGGCACTTCTCGAGTATTTCCAGAAACTCGGGAAAGTAGCCACCGACTTCCTCATGCACAGTGCCTACCAGGCTCATCTGGTGCAGGGGGCCAGCACGGTACGTGCCACTGCTGTATGTCCGCCCGACCTGCGCACAATGGACACGACATTGCTGTGGTGACATGCATCACCGGGTGAAATGGCTTGCTCCTGAGGATGACGAATTGTCGGACAGAGAATGTCACCGGAGCCAATATTTTGATGTCGGGGCCGCAACGAATTAGGTGAAAATGCATGTATGTAAGCGTTCCTGTAGTTTACTTATCTGCGTGATGCTTGTGTAGTTTAGCCAAAACTGCTTGTTACATATATATACGACTGTCTTCGATCACAAACTTAAATTATTAAGCTCAAAATCAATTTCATAACTACTTTTGGATAGGCATGCAACTTTTACAGTGCTGGTTACTAAAGCCATGCAGTTTCAAGTAAAAAAGTGAACGGATCTTTCACACACTTCTTTTCTGATAAGCAGGGCCCAGAGGTTGCCTGCAAGTTACAGTCATATAAGAAACCAATACATCAGAGGCAGTGATGACACCCTACCGTTAAAGGAATTAGACTAAGCGTTACCACAGTCTAATGCCCCTGACACACGGGCACCCTGAAGTCCTTTAGACAAGGGGACATCTTGCGGAAAGGCGTTCGGGCACAGTGACACACGACAAAGGAGTAACTCCTTTCCGGCAAAGATCCTTTTCGCAAAAGCTGATCCCGCATCTACTTTTCTGATAGGAAGGGAGTACTCTCGCATACAGTGTGCATAATTTATCAATAGAAGAAAACGTGTCGCAACACTGCGGTGCCCTGTCAGTATTTTTTTGCGCTGAGAAAATGTTTTCATTTTCAGCAGCAGTGCGATTTGTTCAAAAGTGAAGTCCTATAGTCTGTCCATACTCTCAAACGCCTGCATTACTTCACTAGCGCGATCATGTTAGGGTTTGCAGCGGTAGTTGCTGTGTCGGGCTCACTCGAAAACACTGCTTAAAGTGGCCGTCGCCTAATAACGGCAACGTGTCTTCGAACCAGCGTTCATTGCGAACATTGGCCCAACTTTCGCGGTTGATGGCTCGGGGGGACAGTGCGGAAGCAGTCAAAATGAAGCTGTTTATGACGAGTCTTTGTTTGAGGCTCATCACTCTTGCCTTCGCAGCGTTTAGCTCATCTTCGATGGAGCGGAGGGCGACAAGAGTCAGGCCCACCTCAACTGTTGCTTTATCTCTGTCTCTGCGCTGAGACATCGCAAGACCGCGATGAAACGCGGCACGCCGTCACTGACCCAGCTGAACGCAGCCATGTAAAAAGCACGACAAAAAACAGAAACAGCAAAACACCGACTGTTCATAGTCGCCAGACGAAATTAAGTTGATGCTAAAAACGCAAAAAAGCGAAAAAAAACTACAGGTATGCGCATTATAAGCCACCAGACAATAAAAAAAAACGGTTTTATGCTCCGGCGTCGCTGAATGTGATGTACATGCGCAGATTCTTTTTAATATTTCCAATCTTGCTGCTTCCACAAACAGCGCCATTTTTTCTGCAGCGTTCTTCTGAGGCACCGCCTAAAGCAGTAGTCCGGTGCCGTGTGTCATCAGCGCCACTCCTTTCTGCAAATGGTCCCCTTAGGTGACAAAAGGGGTTTACTTCAAAGTACTTTACTTTTGCCCGTGTGGCACGTGTATAAAACAGTGACAGCGCACATCTCGCTTCCAGTGGCTACAAAGCAGGCAATTTCGATCGACTGACCTCCCCTTGTGAACTGCTTGTATCTAAGCCAAAACTATACTTATTTTTTAATGTGGTTTCGTGCAGTTTATCACAAGCTCTCCTTGTTAAGAATGAAAAATACTCTAATCAAGACTGCTTATTTGTGTCTATTCTTACATTCTGTGTCATCTGTATCCATAATGCGCACTTGCACCGTCTTAAGCTATCGTGACTAATCAACAAATCCACCATTACATATTGACCAATATCCCTTGCCACACTGTTGAAATTTTAGCTCTAGCGACATTCCCTGTTCAATGATATATCGCATCAAGCCTCTTCAACTCACATTTAATCTTGTTAAGAGAGTCACCACGAAGTGGCACTACAGACTACACTACAGTGTAGAGAATGAAAGAAGACATACAAAGTGCTCTTATGGTACTAGAAGAAATGGTACAATAAGGACAGAGACAAGCTAAGTGCCCAAATATCACAATTTTATAGATGCTGCATGGCACATTTCGTATGGCTTTTAGGCTTCGCTCTAGCGGGGGTGGAAGTGGGCTTCAGTCTTTTAGAGCAGCTCAGGGAGCAGGAATAATGCAGTTTTGGAGCAGCTTTGGAGCAGTAAAAGGGAAGTTTTGAATCAGTTCTGGAGCACCAAAAGGTGTGTTTTGGAACTATGCAAGTTAGTTTCGGAGCATATTTCTAGGGTCACACATCACTGTTAACTAAAATGTTTGTTTATGAAAAAAAAAAAAAACGAAAAATTCCAGTGATTGTTCCTAATATTCAATACTGATGAAGCAACCAGACATACCACAAACTATATATATCCATGAGTGACAAGGTGCAAGCGCCATGCCTGAACAGAAATGCAAGGTGACTGAACCACTCGGGATATTAATGACTGCATGCGAATGCGTTCTTCGTGAATCCAATGCGTGTTGCTCGGTCGATGATAAAACTTGGCTAAATTAGGCGTTGTACGCACAAAACACCGTTTATGCACAGCTTGGTGCAGCAAGACAGATTGGCGCAAGATGGCACAGCACTTTCACCCCTGCTATAAACATTGGTGTATACTACCTCCCTATCTCTATTTCTCTCGCCTCCAGGAGGGTGTTACAAGTTCGCATGATGTTGAATCCAATGGGCCCAAACATCCATAATATATTTAAACGGTAATCATAATCAGTCCAACAGTGCTCTCTATGTGGGCTGCATTGCTTAACTTGATGTACTTGAAGGTACATCAGCTACGTCAGGTACAAGTTAGTCAGAGGGTTTCGTTTCGTGCTTCAACACTTTTCTAATTCTTTAGTCCTGACAAGCAAAACTCTACGAAGGTAAGTTTTGCTTGCCTCAATTTTTCGATAGTCGATAAAGTGACCCGCCACATATTTCTCTAGAAAGTGCGATTCGAGTGCACACTCATTTTTGACACTCCGAAGTCACGAAAACTGGTTCTGCATTACCTTTCTTGCCACAGCAGAACAGTGAAATATAATAACTAACCCCAGCTGCAAAATCTTATTGCAGGAATGTAGACAGATCCCCATTAAAATAAAAAAATAACAGTGTTTGTGAAAACCCACAGCTCAGCAAAGTGTTAACGCATAATGATGACTAAATTACTTTTTTTCAATAATTAGACTTTTGTGGCATTATCGCTTTTAGTGCCAATTGTTGTTTTTGGGCATGGATAATTGGTTAGCATAGGAAGCGTTACCATTTAGAGTGGTATGTTGTCTTCGGGGCGTCCTTGAAGAACACAAGACGTTGTAGTAGAAGAATAATTTACTAAACTCACAAGAAACTCTAAAAAGCCAGACAGGCTACAAACGCCACACAGGCCAAACTGCACAAGCATCCATCCGTCCACGTCATCTTTCACACTAGCAGCAAAAGGGCACGTGCATTTCCAGCAGGTATGAATCCGTTGTGTTAAAAGATTATTACAGTTCTTCGGAGTTTCATATTAGCTGGCAGTCTACTGTATTTTCATAACACTGTACTATGAAATCGGCAGAACTAAAACGGCATTCCCCAAACAGCACCTACCATTTCCTGAAACTTGAGCATGGAGGTAGTCTCGATGTCCGAATGCCGACACAACACGCCGCACTTGACCACCAGGTTGGGATGGTGCTCGGCAAAGTAGTCGACAAAATCAGGCATACTATGCGCTGCACCGTGAACAATGCCCATGACATAGCGAGCCACACCTGGTGGATCTTCATAGAAAGTTTCCTGCAAGGAACGAACACAAATTGAATCTCCGTAAAATGTCAACATAACTTGTGGAGGAAAAAAATTTTACAGTTTTACCACAAGGGCGGAGCACTGAATAGGACAGCAAGAAATCGGGGTATCATAAGACGAAAGGCTGGCAACTAACTCTATCCACAAACACGCTCGCTATGTTCTATGCCTTACACACCAACTGCAGTGAAAGCACATCATGCTCAAACCTCCCCCTTTGGCAGATGAGAATGTGAGCACGGGTGACCAAACCATGTAGGTCAAAGTTCTGGGTGGATGCACGCATCCCCCCTCCGGCAAGCAAAAGATGAGCAGGGCATTTAAAGTGAACCCTTCTTAGCGCCATCTTGAAAGTGATGGTGAACAAGCCTCTGCCAAACATAAGCACCTGAGAGCTCTGCATACCACTAGCAGTAAATATGAATAGCTGGCCACAACTGTGATGGAGAAAGTATGCTCTATGGCAGCATGATTTAAAAAGTTGCATGATGGAGTGAGGGGTAGTTAATTCGAATTCCTAGTGGTGCATTTCAAGACTAGTGAATTTTATACATACATATACACACACACAGAAGGCACAGTGGTGTTGATGGCAAAGACCCACCAGGGAGTGTTGATATTAACTGCCATCACATAAAAACAAGTGTCAGAAGTGACCAAGTGAGCAGTGGTAACGTGTTTGTGACACCTTGCCATGTCGGGTAGGTTATGCAAACTATCCTCAACTAATGCTGTTGTTCTTGATATTACGATAGCTTGCCTACATTTTTCGAAGTTTCTATCAGGCCTTAAGGGCCAGTAAACAACACCGAGGTTCAAAAATTTTGATGAAGAGAAATATGCACCCTTTTGCTATGTTAACATGCTGCCACAAGAATTTCGCGAACACGTGCTATGAAAATGATCTTACAGGGGTTAGAACATCAGTTTCGGCCGGTTTCAAATTTCGCACGGCTGCTCTCCACCCTTTTCAGCGAAGAACAGCCTGTCACCGTGACTATGTCTACTTTGGCAACGTGACACGACGTTTGTGATAAGTCATCGACGTGGCAAACAACCGAGCCGCTTCCCCAAAAGAGCACATGTCATAGAGGTGTAAGCAGAAAACTGAGAGTGAGGAGCACTTTATGCACTTGCAGTGAAGTAGACATGACGCCTTCGAAACTTTCGTTCTGGCAATATTGCTTCGCCCGGATTCTCGAGCTCTACAAAAATGGCATCGCCACAGTTTCAGCCGCACAGAACAAATTGCCGTGCTCATGACAAAGAACGAATCGACGAGCTTAGCGGTGTGCAACGTTGAGCATGGGCAAGCCTTAGTCAGACTGTGTGTATGAAGTCGATTAGCCAGGCGACATAAACAGGCATGGGGTTGTTTTTCCAAATAGAGGGTTTGTGCGGCACACACGTGCTATAATATTCGACAAATGTGATCGCCGCAGTCTACTACAGTGTCCACTGCTACAACTTTTTTAACTAGCCTGCACAAATAAGTCTTACGATTAGAAAACTGCCCCTAAATGGTTCCTTTTGTGTTTGACCAAATAATTTCCTGCAATCAAAAACGAGTATACCCTAAATGGAACTATGCAGTACTTTGCACTTCTACACGAGTACATGTGTGCGAATATAAAATAAAAATATTTTAAAATTATTTTTTTAATAATCAGCACCAACAGGAAAGCCTCAGAGGAATAAACGATAGAACAATAGAAGGTCATTTTTCGAGCTTTAATAATTGAACTACTATAACAAATGCAGCCCCAAGTGTTACGGGACTACTGACACTATAGTGATTACCGGATAAAGGCATTATTGCTTAAAAACGCAGTGTAACCGAAGCGAAGAGTCATCACTAAACTATCACCTTGACATAACTTCGGTCATTATCACGAGAAGGTGGGAACTACGACTGCATGCAGCCACAAAAGCGAAATTTGGTCCATGCTAACATGAAAAATTCAGCAGATTCCACATAATATGGGAATCAATGTTAAGCAAAGCATCTGGGCAGAAAGTTACCGTGTTGCAATTTTTCATTGAGCGACACGTCAAGAAAGTACGCTAAATATATGTATAAATATTGCACACACAGACATGTTGAAGAGTTGCAGATGTTTATACAACAAGCTTCACTAACACAAGCCATTTTTAACTCAGTACACTAGGCACAGGACATGGCTATCACATTAAATTCTTATTAAAGACGACGCTTAAGGGTCCCCAATTTTTTTTTTTTTTTTTCAGAGCACACGGCCAAAGATTCTAAATACCTCCCAGAGTCTAAAGCATCATTCGGGCACCCCATAAATACATTATATTTATTACTAACACATTGTTACGTAATAATATTTAACCTGCAATAATCACTTCAAACTTCAAAAAATAAATAATTGGAAAGATGAATGGTTATTGAATGCAAAGTAAGATGAGCAACATATATTTAAAATGTCAGCACTTGTGGCAAAGGCGATATAAAAGAGGTAAATCCAAGTGCCAAATTACAAAAGCAGCCACAATCACATGTAACTATTGCCAAAGCCACAGGCTATAATTGGCACGAGTTTGGTGTGCTATTTTCTTACTGCGCTAATATAACCCCACTGAAAACTTTAAAAATAAAACAAGCTAAATGACCTATACACTTAATATGCCACTGTGGCATAAATGAGGTCAAAGTTGATAAAGTGGTAAATATAACCAGTCACAAATCAAAGTATAATAAAATAATCTCACACACATTTTACAAAGCAGTCCATTATGTACAAATATACATTAACAATCCTAGTATACCCCCCCCCCCCCTTCTAACAGCTAGTATACAAGCTATATACTAGATAACAATACAAACTTGCTATTTTTCATACTCGCTAAGCAGTCACACAATTAAAGTTACTGTTTTCAGTTTCCCAGTCCCATTTTACAACAGTTACTAACAAATATTACACTTTGGAGAAGCATTCATCTTTTGGAGGAGTTTGGAGCGATTGCAGCAGCACTTCCGTCACTAACAGCCAGCTTATGAATATTAGCCTAAAATCACTGAACAATGCTTTAAGGAGGGCTACACTTTTTCTTTTACCCACTCTTTCAGATGGCCTGTATCCCATACAGGGTTGCAATCTCAATATATGAGTGTTTGTCATTCTTATCAAGTGCTTTAGATAAACTGCAAACAGCTTAGACCAAAAAAGTACAGCTGTGCCAAAACAACTCCGCCTCTGATAGTGACAATACGCAAGGTCAGGCAAGCCAATGAACAGTGCTTGCTTTGAAACCACTAGCGCTTGTTCATAAATCAGATGTTGCTTCGAATGAAATAATAGTAATACAATTGTTAGGATTTTAGGTTCTACGACCATGATATAGATATGAGGAATGGCGTAGAAGAGGGCTCTGCAAATTTAGCTGATCTGGTGCTTTTTAGAGAGGATAAAATTTAAGTAATTCACCCAACTTCTGTAATTGTAATTTGACAATGGGGGAGAGGGCAAGATACTTTGTTCAATGCATCGAGTTTCAAGCACTTTCTTTAAAATGATGCCAAGAAGAAAAAGAAGTTGGATTGACATCTGCTGCTCTTCTTTTAAAAATCATAGAGAGCAGCACGGTATCTACAAAGTTTTAGAGCCTGATGCTGACTGGTTCATGGATAATCTTTTCATTCTACTGCAACTGCTACTTTATCAACTGCCTCGGGTCAACTGTGGTACCGGTGTTCTGTTCGTATTTTCTCGAACAACACATTCACACACGCATACTATACTCAAGAAGCACACTACACACACAGTGCACATACACCTGTTTATTGCATGTGCAATGATCCACCAAGTAGTGCCAAACTCAGCCCCCCCCCCCCTCCCCCAACAAGCAACAAAGAATAAAGAAAACAATAGACCAGCTAGAAGCACTAACTGACCTAGCATTGCTTGGTAAATCACTGCACATGCAGATCACTCGATAAGTATATATGATGATAATTGATTGATATATGGGGTTTAAAATGCCAAAACCACTATATAATTATGAGAGACGCTGTAGTGGAAGGCTCCAGAAATTTCGACCACCTGGGGTTCTTTAACGCACACCCAAATATGAGGAGACGGGCCTACAGCATTTTCGCCTCCATCGAAAATGCAGTCGCCTCAGCCAGGATTCGATCGCACGACCTGCGGGTTAGCAGGCGAGTACCTTAGCCACTAGGTCACCACAGCGGGGCATATATGATTATCAGTCATGCACAATAAGCAGATGGTAGTGAGCCCTGTGCGTGAGGTGTGTTTCTTGAGTAGATGTATGGGTGAATGTGGGAGTGTTTTTCGAGCGAATATGACGAGTTACCAACTAACCCAAGTTCTAATAAGCATTCCCGGCGACACTGTTCTCAAAATTTTGCCATCGACATTTTTAATGATCTAGCTTTTCCCCCCCCTCCCCTCCCAAAAAAACCTTCATAACAGACAGTAAAAATCCCCTAGTGAACACGCAATGAGATTAGAAGCAGAAATCTTGTCAATATGAGAGGCAAAGTGCGATGCAGTGAGCTGACTTTACAACTTCTGGGTTCTTTTAAATCTCATAAAGCCTTAATTGTATTCTAGATACCAGAGACTTTTTCAAGAAAGAATTTGTAACGTTTGAGTGCCACAGGTGTTTGTGACAGCCATCCAACGAACTCTAGCCAATAGCAAAGACAAAATAGAAACTTTTCACGATGAGGTGAAATATTGTTAAGCAGTATGAGGTCAATAAGCACACACTGTTATTCAATAAACTACATCGCTGTGATAGAAGCTGTGGCTTTTTTCTTCTTTTTCTACAACAGTGAAGCTCTTAAAAAAAAAAAAGACTGAATGCGACCTGCAATTCAAGTACTACAGCTTATCTCTAGTACCCTCTGCCATTACGTACCCAGAGGCTGTAAACACTTCATGAAGCAGCAGCTCCAAGTAAATTCAACATCAACAGATGACCAGATGCGATGATAAAATTCTGGAAAGCTCAACGTGCGAAGCTTTTTTCTTCATTAAAGCAGAATTCAAAAAGTTCTGCACTCCACAGCACATAATGTATCGCACGTGAAACAACTAAGCCCTTTATAGTGCAAGGTCTACATACAGTACATGTGCCTGTGAATCCTTGAGGCATAGAAAGGTTTTGTAAGTGAAAGATCCATGCTTTACTGTCTGTTCCTCTTCGTGTAATCGTAAATTTCGTGCCATACTTATAAAGTAAATAAATAAAAATTATGAGGTGGTGAGACTTGCAAAGCCAGAAATGAGAGAACTAACACTGCAAGAGTTGCAGCTGCCCTAAAACATGAAGACAAGCAGATTGTGCGAGTTGGTGAGGTTCCAAGATGAAAATAAAACAGCGCTTACTTAAACACAGGACGCAGGGAAGAAAGGGGACACGCACAGCGCTGAACACCTTGTGTTTAAGAGCTGTTTTATTTTTTTTTGTACTGATACATAACACAAACCCTAGTTTGCACACAGTTTGCAAAGCCTGAAAGCTATTGCAGCAGTTTCCAGATATCATAGACGTTAGGACTACTGTCGATTAAACTTTGGAATGCAGTGCTATTTTGACCATAAAGACAGATCCACATAAAACTCCACTAATGAGCGTATAGTCTAGACTGACTTGACGAGCCAGACAGCAGGTGATCTTGCCAGGAGACGAAGGACAAAGCAGTGCTCAAAATCGGACAAGATGAAGACACAGATGCAGCGCTGAACAACTAATGTTTATTGCAAACCAACTGCAATAAATAAGAAGAAGGTATCTGCAAGGAGATACCTGCTCGCAGTTAGCAATAAGCCTTGCTTGTTAGTTCAGCACTGTGTGTGTCTTCATATCGTTCAGTCTTAAATGCTGTTTTATTCTTCCTCTACTATGCACCATCCAGCCCCAAACACACTGCCCAATATCATGCTGGGAGAGAATGTGGCCAAAGACAAGTGTGGAACTCTTAAGTGACAGATGTATCCTTCATTTCTGAACGGAACAGAGGTTAAGTCTTCTACTATGAAAAAACAGTTCACTCAGAACTCCACGATATGAATTGTGATCTCGTACGCCAATAAGGCGGTAATTGTATAATGAAAACTTCTGCCATCACTTTGTTATGATAAAGCTAGTGACAACCGAAGTGCAGCGCAGTAAATACACTGCCGACTCTAGTCTATGCAGATGTGCAAGCCAATCATGTTAGTGCACTTCTACAACCTTCTGGAACACCACAAACTCAATTTCCTGATGTTCTTTAAGAAATTATTACATTTTATAGTGCAAAGAGACAGTCAATAGATGTGCTGCATATTTTTTAGAGCTGCTTTCACAGGGATGTTTGTTTCTTTTTTCAGCCAAGTGCAGTGATCAATCTTCTTCGACCAAACAAATGCAAATAAGAGTATTGAAGCAACATTGGGAACGAGTAAATACTCTGAACATTCAAATACTAACACAATACTGGCTCATCCGTAATCAATCACTATTACAGACTACAAGTATTTATAGCTATAACTATGTGTTGTATTAAAGCACAAGCATAATTTAGTTTTTTTTTTTTTTCGTGGGGGCAATGCTAGACTTTTAAACATAAGAAATGATGAAGCTCATTTCACTTAACTGCTAGTGAGCCCAACTTTCCATACTCTGCTGTAGCAATTAATTTGCCAATAAACAGTTTACATGGCCCTGATACTCAAATTGTGCAGTTAACATTTCACTATTTACAATTTAACAGCAAATTTGACTAAAGTTCAGAATACTAAAGATGTAAATTCAATCTCCTGTCAATAATGTGAAACTTCCAAAAAGATATTTGATACCATATACAATTTAGTTATATATTGCTCTTTGCATATACATAAGAAATATGTCATATTCCAAATCTTGACATTACCATCATACTGTACAGGTGAAGCAGCACATTTTGTTGAGGACAAAAGGAACAAAAATGACAAGATGCTCAATCATTCTTGTCCCCTTTATCCTCATTGAAGTGCACTACTTTGCCTATACGGTACGGCGATCGATCATCAACTAACCCAACTTTCAAACTTGTTAAAGTTGATATTGGAGTACTATCAGTTTGCAGCTCACCTTGAGAAAATCCTTTGCCAACCGCATCATGTCAGTTGGCTCGAGGTGGCAGATCTCGTCCCAATACAAGTGCAGCACTTCCCCGCCTCCGTTGGGGTGCACTTCTCGGCGCACAAAGCGTCCCAGGCGCATGTGTCCAAACTCCAGAGAAGCAGGCATTCTCGGGACAAGAGACAGTGCACCGACAACCACAGATGGAGGGCCCAGAGGGGCAGAAGAAGAAGAAGCCGAGTGGGCATTGCCATGGCGCTCCTTTTTGCACTGAATGCCCACATTTCGCTGCGAAGCACACTTGCGTTTACACCGACAGCACATGCTACCGCTGCTGCAGTTCTTGACAGGTGAAATCGTCAGCGGGGATGACAAAGGTGCTGAGGATGGTGGTGTTGACGATGGGGGTTGATGATGCGAGTGCGGATGCGGCGGTGCGATGGTGATGCAAGGTGTTGTCGTCGGTGGTGGAGCAGGAGGAGGTTTCGTCTTGTGCGGGAGCTGATCCTTCTTGCTGCTGCTATGTCCGGACGACTGGAGTGGGAAGGAAAGGTAACAGCATGTGAGGAAACACGAATTAACACAGACTTCTTGTCATTCTCAGCTATTGCCACGTGTTTTGGCTTCAGATAAGCCAACCTCATTTAGGGTAAATCACCAAAAAATTTGAAAAAGATGTCATCAGAGAGCGGTTTTCAATTCTATGCACAGATTTCCTATTATTTAAGAAATAAGCAATGGCACGAGAAGCAGATGAAGAAGCATATATGCAACAGAATAAAAGCATGACATGTGAGCCACAGAATGTCTCGCATATCTAACATCAAACACAGAGTGTCAGTTTAGCACACCAATAACAGAAGGGCAGTAGCGAAAATATCAAAGGACTCCTGCAACAGTTCTAAAAAACAAACGGTACTTTGAATTTAGGTTTCCGTAAACACGCAAGCTAAATATTACCATGCTACATGCAGCAGGGTTTTTACATATGAGTGTCCAAGACAATGAAATACCACTTGCCCTCTAGTTCACAAAACCCAATTGAAAGGCTAGCAATCAAACGCAGGAGCTTCGGAGGCTACATGATAGTGGTCTCTTCCAAATATTTGACCAAAAAGAAAACAATGCTGCAGAAGATGCTTGGGAGGTGAGTGAGACCCCAAAACGGTCATTGCACTAGCTATACGATTATATTGTTTTGAACATCTCTTCCAGCCCATATTGATAAAAATAGAGAACATTGTATTCTATGAACATAAAAGAGCCGTAGGTCAAGACTTGAAAATTGTCAAGAACTTTTTACCAGGTCATCGCTACTGAGCACAATAAAAAATATTCATATGTATGCTTTGAAATCCACTTCATGGTGATAGCACTTTCACTGGGACTTTGTCACACAATTAGAGAAAGAAAAGAAATCTTTGTGCTCCATTTTTCTTTTCTTTTAACAATCAATTTACCATAACTAGATCAAGAAATGTGAGCTTTGAAAGGCAACACTGCAAGTCTAAAGAAATGTGGTGTTTCTGTCGAGAGTTCCCTAAACGCATGGCTGAGTTTCTTGTTTAAAGGGGCCCTGCAACACTTTATGAGCATGGTCATAGAACGCTGGTGATCTGTAGGTGAGGCTCCCAAGAATACACGAGCCAAATATTATAGTGCATATATATATGTCACAAGAAATTTGCAAAGTCGGCTAAAAATTGCTCCTTTTTCTTTCGACAACTGATGCTACACGCTCACAAATCACTCATCACAGTGCATAGGCATACCAGCCGGAGGGAAAGGGGGCGGGAGCCCCCCACTTTCGACAGTGGTCACTGTCACAGAACGAGCGCTAAAAATGGGCGCGCCGCCAAATTCTTGCGATAACGCACGGGAGAGACGCCGGGAGGTCAAAAGAAAAAAAAAACATCCAAGGCTCCCCGGGCGCGCGCTCTCCCCTCGGAAGCGTGGCTTCGCCGACGAACCTCCTCACTCCACATCGGCGGCCGAGGAAGGCCGCGAAATTTCTAGAACGAAAGAGGCGTGGTCACGCCGGGTTGAGTCATCCATCGCGGAGGGCATTCCAACCGTCTCGCCCTCTCCCCAGCCTTCGCTGCGTATCGCGCCGACGAAATGACGAGAACCTTCTGGAATCTCGCGCGGAAGGTATTTAATCGAGCAGCCGAGACGAGAGAGCAGGAGAAGACGGAAGTTAGCGCCAGGGTGCGTAGGGTATACCGCCGTGTAGTCGGCGAAGGTTTTGTCCGTAGAGACAAAGCGGGAGAAGAAAATGATTTCCACCTGAGGGGTGAAGGCTCCAGCTACAGGCAAGAGCGTGTGTTTACCGCTATCGAGCTAAGACGCGTGGCAACAGCTGTTGCCGCGTGTGTGAAGCCGTCGTGTTTCCGGCGAAGAAGTTGAAGTTTGAAGAGTGGCCAATTGAAGACGCGAGGTTTCCTGGAAGAGAAACTTCAGGGGCAGCGGAACGACAACAACGCTGGACTTTGAGTGAGTGATTCTCGGAAGAGTATCATCCCGACTTTTGTTCCAAGAACTTTGGACTGAATAGGTTTTCTATCTCTTTAGTCTTTAAGTGTCTTGGTTGTTCAATGCATGCGACTGCATTGTAGTGCGTATTGTTGTCTGTGTCCGTTGTTTCGAGTGTGGCTGATCGTATTGTGTAGTACGTTGTTTGATTGGTGACATATTGTATGTAACTATTGTGGAGTGAGCATTCTTGTGTATTGTTTTCGATCTGCCATTATTGAGAATATAATTTTGTTTGTTTATCAACTCTTGGCTCTGACTTGTTCTTTGGGCCACAGCCGGCGTTCGCTGGCGCGCCAAAAAGGACCACTTCTAAATTGTCCACGCTTTCGTGGTGCGGTTCGGGGGGCCGATACTTTGGCCCTTGGAATTAGCCCGGCGATCGCCTCCTGAATTAACGGGACCTGTGTGACAATCTGGCGTCCGCGACACAGGACCTTTTTGGTGCACAGTGTGTCCAAAGTAGTGAGAAAGAGCCTCGAGTTGTTGATAGTGCTATCGGAACGATTTTGTGTGTTGTTCAGTGTGCTCGTTAACGAGTGCAGGAGAGTGCTCCGATAGACTGATTTAGGCAGATATTTTTTGCATGCGGCAAGGTTTTATTTGCGAGACACCATGGATCTCGAAAAGTTAGTTGCTCTTGGTGAGAAGATGGGTCTTTCTGGCGCCGAACTACGGAAATGGGTAAGCCAGAAGGAGAAAGAGGCGGTGGAGAGAGAGAAGTTGGCAGCTGAGAGAGCCAAGGAAGAAAAAGCAGCTGAGTTGGAACGAGAGAGGTTGGCAGCTGAAAGGGCGAGAGAAGAAAGAGAAGCAAAGGAGCGACAGCTGAAAGAAGAAAGAGAGGCAAAAGAGCGACAGCTGAAAGAAGAAAGAGAGCAACAATTGAAGTTGGAGCTGGAGAAAGAAAAGGTGGCAGCTGAAAGGGCGAGAGAAGAAAGAGAAGCAAAGGAGCGACAGCTGAAAGAAGAAAGAGAGGAAAGGGAACGGCAGCGGCAGCACGAGATGGAACTCGAGCGGCTCCGTTTGCAACAGAGAATTCAAACTCCGGTCCAAGCTAGAGTTGAAAGCAGCGAACGGGAAGATCATGGCTTCCGCTTGAACCCAAGCAAGCTGCTCGTAGCGTTTGATGAGAGGAAGGACGACCTTGACGCGTACCTTCACCGATTTGAGACGATTGCAAGGAGCCAGAATTGGCCGGAACATCAATGGGCAACTGCTTTGAGTACCTGCTTGAGTGGTGAAGCGCTCAGTGTGTACGGTAGGCTGACGCCGACCGATGCAGCCAACTACGCAAAGGTAAAAGCTGCTTTGCTGAAGCGATTTAGATTTACTGTAGAAGGTTTCCGGGACAGATTTCGGACAGGAAAACCAGCTGATGGTGAGACGGCTACGCAGTATGCCGCCCGACTCTGCCATTATTTCGACAGATGGATTGAACTTTCAGGGACAGCACAGGAGTACGATGAGCTTAGAGAGCTCCTAATTAGAGAACAATTTCTTACTAGTTGCCACCCAAGCCTGTCGCTGTACTTGAAAGGGAGGAAAGCTAAGTCACTTGAAGACATGCTTGAATTAGCTGATCAATTCTTGGAAGCGCAAGGTGGAACTAATTTGGCCAAGGTCAAGAAGGAGTGTCCCGATGATTCGAAGAAATTGGCTCCCGAAGAAAAGAAGCGTGCACCAGAGAGCATTCCGCGATGTTTTCTGTGCAACCGAGTGGGTCATCGCGCGAGAAACTGTCGAACGATCTTTACGAGCCCTACGGCAGTAAAATGTTTCAAGTGTGGTCAGACTGGGCACAAAGCAGATGCTTGTCGGAACGGAGTGAGTCAAACTCACCAGGTTTCCTGTGTGCAAGTGGCACCGAAATCTGATAATAATGCCGTCACCGATGGATTCGTAGAGTTGAAGAATGGGGAGAAAATTCCTATTGTGGGTGCTGTAATGTCAAAACAGCCAACCGGTGTTACGAAGGAAATGCCAACGCTGCCTGGAAAGGTTGCAGGCAAGAAGATTACGGTTCTAAGAGACACCGGTAGCTCCACGGTTATCGTGCGGAGAAATTTGGTACAGGAAAGTGAGTTAACAGGCAAAACGAAATCGGTTTGCCTAATTGACCGTACGGTTCGGATGCTTCCCGAAGCAGAAATTGAGGTTGAAACCCCGTACTTCAGCGGGAAGGTTACCGCTTTATGTATGACGACCCCCCTGTACGACCTTGTCATCGGAAACATCGACGGGGCGCGAGGACCGAATGATCCGGAATGTTTGGGAGAAGACCCTAAGATAGAGCCCTCACCAACCCAGCGACCGCGAGATACAGTGGAGGAGCATCCCGTGACGGATCTCACTAGAGCCCAAGGTGAAGCCGCGGCGCAAGAGACAGCGAATAAGAAGATGATCGTGTTGAATGAGTTCACGTGCTGGGCAGCTGGACGTACGTCGGCACAACCTCAACCGACAGACAGTGTAAAGGGGACGGAGTCGGCCAGCCAGGCCCAATGTCGTGACATGAACAAGCGGGTGACAGGATCGGTTGAGCATTATCACCCGTTAGCAGTGTCGGAAGTGACAACGATGGCTGAGACGCTGCCTCAGATACCGTCATTGGAAGGGGCTCGCCGGAACAAAACGAGCCAAAACAATAAGAAGAGATCGAGAGAGCACCGCAAGAAAGGGCGCAAGCGCCGCTCGAAATACACAGGATAGGTGCTGAGGTGGAATCGAATTGTGTTTGGCAGTGCTGAGTGCCATATGTTGTGTTAATGTTCTTGTTATCCTGTGTCACAAGTGTATGTCGAGCGAGTCAAAGTGTTCTGTGCGATGATGTGATGTATAGTGTTGTATAATTGTTGTAAAGACAGAACTTTGTACGTTTGTATTGTTTGGAATATGTGATGGAGTGTTGCATTCATGTACCTGTGGCTATATTTCATGTGTCGTGGAATTGAATTACAATGTACAGTTGTATTGAGGATCTATTCCGAATGTGAAGTGTCATG